GTAAAGTCCATCCGTTCACCTTTTCTGCTTCACACAAAGGCACGATGGTTGGAACCAAAGATCTTAAATGTGGGCTCATCAGACCAAAGCACAGATTTCCACTGGTCTCATGTCCATTTGTTGTGTTCTTTAGCCTAAGCAAGTCTCTTCTGCTTGTTGCCTATCCTTAGCAGTGTCCTAGCAGCTATTTTACCATGAAAGCCTGATTCACACAGTCTCATCTTAACAATTGTTGTAGAGATGTGTCTGGTGCTAGAACTCTTTGTGGCATTGACCTGGTCTCTAATCTGAGCTGCTGTTAACCTGCGCTTTCTGGGGCTGGTGACTCGGATGAACTTATCCTCCGCAGCAGAGGTGACTCTTGTGCTTCCTTTCCTGGGGCGGTCCTCATGTGAGCCAGTTTCTTTGTAGCGCTTGATGGTTTTTGCGACTGCACTTGGGGACACTTTCCCAATTTTTCGGACTGACTGACCTTCATTTCTTAAAGTAATGATGGCCACTTGTTTTTCTTAGCTGCTTTTTTCTTGCCATTATACAAATTCTAACAGTCTTTTCAGTAACACTATCAGCTGTGTATCGACCTGACTTCTGCACAAAGCAACTGATGGTCCCAACCCCATTTATAAGGCGAAAAATCCCTCTTATTAAACCTGACAGGGGACACCTGTGAAGTGAAAACCATTCAAGGTGCCTACCTCTTGAAAAACATCAAGAGAATGCAGAGTGTGTGCAAAGCAGTAATCAGAGCAAAAGGTGGCTACTTTGAAGAACCTAGAATATAAGACATATTTCCAGTGGTTTCACACATTTGTATATATAATTCCACATGTGTTAATTCATAGTTTTGATTGGACAATGCAGCAGGGGTCAACCGTCCTGTTCACTGATGGTCCCCAGGCTTTTCTTTGATGGAGGAGCACTGGTCTGAGCAGGCTCAACCAGTCAGCTCAAAACAGATTTGGTTATTGTAGATGGTTCAGTCACTGCATGTTCTTACCTCAGAGACATCATAAAACCCATTATCATACCCAAATTCTGCCAGAATACCCCGAACTTTTTGTTCAAGTATGGTAATGCTCCTTCACATCGTCCCAGAATTGTCACAGCTCGACTTCAGGAAGTCAGTGTCTCGCATGGTATGGCCAGGAATGTCCTCTGACTTGAACCCCAAAGATTATGTCCAGGACCAGATGAAGCAGAGACTGGATGATCATGGCCCACCCATGTGACCTGGCGCAACTGCATGTAGCACTTGTGGAAGAGTGGAATGTTGCCTCAGAACAACATAATGAGGCTAGTGAGGAGCATGCGACATCGCTGTCAAGCTGTCATTGCAGTAAATGTGGAAAAACCCACTACTGACATTGATAATTTTTGTTTTTGAGGCTGTTGTCAACATTTTTGGGGTAATAAATATTAAACTAATGAAAATGGTATTTCTTCTCCTTCATTATTAGTCATATCAAAGGGAACTTTGACTTATTTCTTTAAAATTCAGACCAAATTGGAAAAGCACTCATGTAAATAAAAATATACCTAAATTATTACTACTCTACTTAGGTAGGTAAGTAAGTGTGCAGGTGTGCATACAAACACATAAATATATTACTCACAATAAGTAAGGGATATTGTTATGTATATGAGTGGTTTTCCAATTTAGTCTGAATTTTTAGGAAATAATTCAAAGTTCCCTTTGATATTACTAATTGTCTGTCTGTCTAAACAAAAGTCTTACTTTGTCCTTCCTTTCAGTCATAATTCAAGTGACCACCTCTGGGTTAAAATTACATTTCATTGCCAAGGGTCACATAATTTAGATGACTGGTGTCAAACACCGGAAATAAAAGCTTGGCCTATCACCTTATCACCTTGCTGTATCATTTCAATGTATTTTGTTATTTTATTTTCTGATTATGTGTGCCTATCTTACAATATTTTATCTATATAAGTTAAAAAAGAAAACTATAAAACATTCATCATAGCTAATATAACCACTTGATGAAGAATAAATTATTAGCCAAATAGCAGAGTTCTCTCATTAGAGCCAACCGAAGGCAGCTGGAAAGCCTGTTTTTCTACAAGCTTATCTGAAAGACCTTTTCAGTGGAGATGAGAGCCTCCACTTCACTGCACTGAATAGCTATCCAGCTGCACTCGGTATGCATTCATGAGACTGGGATTCATCACAGGCAAGGCAAGTTTATTTGTATAGCACATTTCATGTACAAGACAATTAAAAGTGCTTTACAAAGATTTTAAAGGCAGAAAACAAAGAAAAAATTAATCGAAAAATTAAATTAAATGGATTAAAAGTGACCCGCGACCCCATCAGGGAATAAGCGGTATTGATAATGGATGGATGGATTAAAAGTGAATGGTTAAGATAAAATACATTCAATTTCCACATGCAATTAGCAATAGAACCGTTTTCAGCCTGGATTTAAGCATTGTAAGAGTTGGGGCCTGTCTCACCTCTTCAGGAAGACTGTTCCAGATTTTTTGAGCACAAAACTGAAATGAAGCCTCGCTTTGTTTGGTTTGACTCTGGGCACCAGGAGGAGATCACTACCTGAGATTTTCAGAATCAGAGCTGGTTCATACGGCTCTTACACATCAGGAATGTATTTGACCATAAGGAAACTTGTACATAAGCAGAGCTGTTTTAAAGTCTATTCTCTGAGTGACCGGAATCCAGAGCAGAGACCTGAGTACTGGACTGATAAGGTCGTATTTCCTGGTTCTGGTCAGAACTCTAGTAGCAGCAATCTGGATGTTCTGCACCTGTCTTGCAGCACGTTAAGAGAGCCCAGTGAGCAAGCCATTACAATAGTCTAACCTGCTGGAAACAAATGCATGGATTAGTCGTTCTAGATCTGGTTTTTAAGGCCTTTGGAAATGTTCCAGTCTGAAGTGAGATGTTGACTAGATGAGACGGTTATGGTAACAAACTGCTCAGCACAGACTTTAGGAATCTGGTGGGTAGCATGTGATTGACTCAGGCTGCAGATGATCTCTTTTTATTGTTTTGTTAGTGACTGGTGTAAACTGTCAGCTCTAGATGTTTAACTGGGGCAGAGTAGTTATTTGTGTTTTGGAATTTATTTCATTTTGAAAGCCTTGAACTTTGTCATTAAAGACCATTACAAACTCCTAACATTTGGATGTAGAAACCAGTTACAAGAGCAATGAGACTGGAGGATTTGTTGGTCAGCTCACTGAAAATTAAAGTTGTTTCTGCAGTTTCTGAAAAATAACACAAAGTCTGGTCTAACACACACAACTTTTCTTTGTAGATCTTAACATTAACCTGGAGCTTTGACTGGCGCCATTCCCGTTTGGCTTTCCAACACTACCTTTTCTGTGCCCTGGCCGAGTCTTCTTTTCTCTATGCTGCTTTTTTTGTCTGTTTTTAACCTTTAACCAAGCAATGACATCCAAGACCTTTAAGACACTTGATGTGTAAGAGTTCAACAGTTCATCAACATGAGAACACGGCGTATCTTCAAACTAATCAATTCCAAAAAACTGTCTCCTGGTGTTGTCATTTCTGAGTCTACTCTGAGCAACTGTAGACCCAGCTGTTGGTTTGGGTTTAACAGTCAGGTCAAAGAAAACCCCCCAAAAATCAGAAAAAGCAACATCAACAACATCCACACTTGAAACAACACCCTTTAAAATAATCACATCTTAAGAGTGTGTCATCTGTTGTGAGTGGGTGCGTTCACATGCTGAGTTGGACCAAACATCTCAAGGACAGCATTAAGTTCTTTACAATGCTTGTCTTGGGTTGCATCCACATTTAGGTCCCCTGTTATGACCAAACAGTCAAAATCAGTGCACACGACCATTGATAAAACTTCCGTTTACTGTATACTGTTTTAGTAAATCCGACTGCTGTTTCACAATATCCCAGGTGTAGAACAAAGGTCTTGAGTGTTGTAAGTGTAGCCAGAATTTGCAAAATGTTGTCTTTCACGTCTCCTCTGGAAAGAAAACCATTTTCAGACGTTTCCCACACGTCTTACATCCTTCACAGCAGCATTCCCAATAATCAGAGTCTCAGGTCCAGGCATTAACTTCCTTCTTACTTTTACTTTTTGTGTTGTTTTTCCGCTTCACCTTGCTGTGTTAAGAGACTTTATCCAGGTTATCAGATGGGGAACAAGATGTTTGTTTGAGGAGGAGAATGCTTCTCTTTTGGTTTTCCTCAGACCACTGTCCAAGTCTGTGTCCTGTTAACAACCGATGTAAAGGAAGACTTTGATCTCGTTGAAAGTGAAAGACGGAGAGTTGTGCTATTTTTTGTTGTAGATTCATCCTGCAGGAATGTAAATTATAAGCTACTACTTAAGCTTAGCACTGAGAACCAGAAAATAACACCTGGCATATGGTCCATATATCATTGTCTTATGAATTGAAAAGGAAAATCATATCATCGTTGTTTATTGTAAAACCTCCAACACTGCTGATGAATCAAAAGTATATTAAACTTTATGGTCAGTGGTATGGTCAAAGAGACATTGTTTCAACTTCATAATCAGCTGAAGGAAGAGTTCAAGATAATTGTTGACTTTATGTTTTTAAGCCCAGCTGGAAAAAACATCACAAAGTCAAATTCTTGGCAATCCATTTATCTGCAGTAATTTAGTACTCTACTAGACATTATCTAGATACCATTTGTTATGTTTAAGATTGTCTGACTCCAGGCCACCAGTGAAGCTTGGTTTCCCATCTGCTTTTGTACCCACATCGCATAGCTTCTTAATAGTTAGAGCCTCCTTTGAGCCCCCTGGTGTTGTATAATTTCACATGTGTGCAGCAGAGCTCTATGCAAAATTCCAAATATTGCATGTGAAAACACTTTTCTGAAATGACGTGAAACATTTAGCCCTCTGTTATCACAAATGTTTACATTTTTCATTTAAAAAGGTCTCTATGATTACGCCTTACAAAATAGCTCTAACTTTTGCCTCTTTTATTTTTTTTGTCTTTTTTTACAGTAAGCATGTTTCTCAACACCCTGACGCCGAAGTTCTATGTGGCTCTCACAGGTACTTCATCCCTCATATCAGGACTCATACTGGTAAGATGTTCTTGTTATTAGCGTTTATTATGTAGTTTGTTAAGTTGAATTAATGCCTCAGAAGCCCCTAAAATCTACTGTAAGTGGAAATCTATTGTCATAGTCTTTCATAATGAATTTCTTATGTTTTGCTTTGCAAATTACTGAGAACACATTTGAGGTGTTTAGTGTGGGATGGAATAACAGGACTGTGTAGGGGCCAGCCATGCAATGCATTAGATGTTGAGTCTTTTTCTGTGTTGTCCACAGAGACAGCAAACCCCTACAGTGTTTGGTTTTCAGTTTAAAATAGCCCCTTGTAATAAACTTATTTTCTCTTTCCTTTGGGCTTTTGCCCAATTTGCATAGGCTTTTTAAAAAAAGTTTTTATCTTTGTACATGTTCTCAAAGGATCATGAAGAATTTTGGTTTTACTGAGGAGTGTTGGGCATTTCTTTGTAATTAGAATATGTTTTTTTCTCTTTTTTTCCCTTCCTTGAAGGGCTCTAGACAACTATATGAAAAATGTCTAATAGAGATTGCAGTCTGGTTAGGTAAAAAAGAAAAAAGTTAATAGTGGCAACTTTTGCTTTAGACAAAGCTTTATCTTACTTTACACAGTTAAGACAATGTTTTCTAATATTGTTTTCTCTAGTTATCAAATACAACATAATTGTCCCTCTGATCAACTCTGTTTTTTAACACAATTTAAAACAAGTAGGTCCCATAGATGTTTCCTTATTTATACAGACTTTATGCTTCAGACAAGCCATAATCCTTATCAGTAAACTAAAGTTCTCTGCTGTCTGTTTTCATCTCGTCTCAGATCTTTGAGTGGTGGTATTTCAGAAAGTATGGGACATCATTCATAGAGCAGGTGTCTGTGAGCCACCTCCGCCCCCTACTGGGGGGAGTGGATACCAACTCTCCCACTAACTCCAACACTGGTAATGGAGAGGCAGACTCCAACCGGCAAAGTGTGTCTGGTAAGAACTTTCACATGATGTGATTGTCAGGACAAACAGCAATTAAGTTTTATATTTGGCCAGATTTCATAGCTTACTTTCTTTGAGATCAATAGGTTTATTAAAATACATTTTATTTCCAAACACAAGAGCTAACACAAAAAAAAAGTAAAACGGATTACTATATGTTTAAGGTTTCATGGATGTTGATTTAACAGCTGAGCAGAAATAGTTTAAATGCCAGAAAGTGATTATCCTTATTAGTTTTGAGGCATAAATTATTATCAAAGTATTTTTTTAGCCACATGTTTCTCTACAGGATCATTTTTGTTCATTTTACAATCAATCACTTGCCTACATCACAAAATGATTGTAATTATTGCAATGATCACAAAAATGTGTTCAGTTAAGTTATTTTCGCATAAATTCATATGTCTCAGTCTACCAGACAATGAAGAATTTAAAATTCCGTTTAGACTCTCAGCAGCTACTTCAGATGGCTCCGGCCACATATGTTAATACACAGCCATCTGGCAAAGGCCACTCATCATACTTGAAATGTTATTTATATGTGAAATCAGTTTCCCTCTCTGTAAGTTGTAAGATATTTTAGAAACCACACCATACAGACAGAGCTATGTACTGTAGTTGTTTTTTTCAAAAACATTGAGTGTTTGTGCAGAGGAAGTTTTAAGGTTATTTATTACTCCCAGTTGTGCTTCCAAAGAGATCAATGTGCTACACAGAGAGCTGCAGGGTAGATGTCACAATGCACAACCTTTGAAGTGAGCAGAAAAGAGTCGGTTTTGCCCTTGAAACTCAAGAGTAATGCTCTGTTTGTTTCTTTGATGCAGAATGTAAAGTATGGAGAAATCCTCTAAATTTATTTCGTGGAGCAGAATATAATCGGTGAGTTCACTCTTATTACTGTTATGTCCTTTTTTAAAAACTCTTCATTTAAACTTTTCTAACTCTTTGTTAGTTCCTCTCATACTGTCATCTGTTTGTGCATTTCTTTATTTTTTCTTCTATTTGTTTCCATCAGTCTGCTGTCAGTGCATATTTTATATTTCCAATTCTTCTGCTGATGATTTTAAGTAGTCGGTCATTATGTGTTCATTACTGAATTTGTGTCCCATATGAAGTGCATTTAAATAATGATTTCCAATCTGGAACAGTTGGTAATAATTAATGTCTAATTTAGTTTATTTGCTTTTATCCAGATATACATGGGTAACTGGTCGCGAGCCTCTGACATATTATGACATGAACTTGTCAGCACAAGACCATCAAACCTTCTTTACTTGCGACTCAGACCACTTGCGACCTGCTGACGCCAGTAAGATAACACATACGCTGAACAGTGAATCAGAACTTTTTTGTTGTTGTTTGTTATATTGTTCACAAGTTGTAATATGGGCCATTATACATAATAAACACATGCATGTCTGATTGTACGATTGCAGTCATGCAGAAGGCATGGAGAGAAAGGAACCCGCAGGCTCGCATCTCAGCAGCACACGAAGCTCTCGAGCTTGAGGAGTGAGTCTGTTTCTTTGTCGTTACTTTTCCGTCTATCTCCAGTTAACTAGCTCCAATGCAGTAATAATTCAAGTAGTGACAATATTGGAAAATAAGGGAAATTAGCTGTCCTCTTTCAGACAATTGCTTTTTTATTTAATTTTTTTTCAACATATTTATTTATTTATATATTTTAGTATATATTATATTTATGTATTTAATAGTTTTTTTGTCAGTTAGTATTTTGTAATGACATGTTCAGAGATCTGATCCTTGTTCAAAATATAAAAGGAATAATTTAATTCAGCATTTGATGTCATATTGCGTGATACCATATTTAGAGCAAACAAAGGCGAGGGGGGTGTTGGTTGTCAGATCACTTAAACTCATGCCATGATTTCTTTTATCACACCCCTTCCATTCTGATGTATTAGGAATGCCTGGCAATTTAATTGCATTTTCTGCAAGCACCATTTTGATTAACAGATTTAGGCTCACAATAACTCTTGTTGATAAGAAAAAAAGACCTACCTAGACAAACCTATCTTTCACTTCATGTGAACACGGCCTTCAGTGTCACCCGAGTGCAGTCAGCTTTTAGAGATTAAGCTGCTGCACTACAACTCTGACAGAAATTAAAAGTATTGTTTAAAAATTCATAGGGGATGCAAGGAAATAATCTCAAGACAACTATAGAGTAGCAAAATATGGAACAAACCATTTTTTGTATGTTTGTTGGTGTGATCTGTCAGATTCAAATGATAAGATATGAAAATCCATCCATTTGTGTGATGACATGCAACGCGTGCTTTAGCTGAGCTGAAGAGGATATAAAATGTTAACACATTACTAACACATTGGAATGCTTTCCCTAAATAGAAAAAAGTGGAAAATGTAGCTCTTATGTATTCATGACAGGGGCTTTCATGTTCAGAAAAGTTGTTTTGTTCACTCTTCAGTAGCAAGAAAAGAAACACAAAGAAGAGCTAAAACCATATTTTATTCATTTTTTTGTATTGAATTGACGAGAGGGGGCGGCACGGTGGTGTGGTGGTTAGCACTGTCGCCTCCCAGCAAGAGGGTTCTGTGTTCGAATCCCGGGGGAACCAGGACCTTTCTGGGTCCAAAAACCTGCATGTTAGGTTGATTGGATATTGGGGAAATTGCCCTTAAGAGTGAATGTGAGTGTGAGTGGTTGTTTGTCCTTGTATGTCCTGTGTGTGGCCCTGCAATGGACTGGCGGACTGTCCAGGGTGTACCCTGCCTCTCGCCCGTTGACCACTGGGATAGGCTCCAGTTCCCCCCGCGACCCCATCAGGGAATAAGCGGTATTGATAATGGATGGATGGATGGAATTGACGAGAGGTTTCTTTAAAGGAAAGTAAAATTAAAGATATGTAATTGCATGAGGTATTGTGATTAGTTTGTTATTCCTTATAACCTCATTCTTCCAGTGGCGAAAGCAAATAACATGCAGTTTTTTTAATTACTGTAATTCTACGAATTCTGGAGGCTGAAAGTCGCAGTTAGACAGAGTGAGAGACAGTGATTCATATAGCCGATAATGAGTGTTTATTTGTGTTTTATCAATATTTAAGCAATGTTTAGGGATCTTTTTAGTGTATTGTATATTAATAGTATTATTATTTTATTTTTTTTGTAAAGAGTAATCATAGGGTTTTTTGTTTGTTGGTTTTTTTTTAGTTCTGAATGGTAAGTGTTTATTCAACATAAAAACCTTTAAAAGTTTTCAGTGTATGCAGTAGTGTATAGATGTACATGTGGGGGAGAAAGGGGAGTGGATCAGATGCTAGCTACCAACTCTGTCCACAGCATAAATAGAAGATGGCACATGACTATCTTTGGGCATTCCTGTTACTAACAGCTACATCCCTCAGAGAGAGCTCAGCATGACACTGCAGCAGAACCTTAGATAGTTGAACTTACCTTGAAAAGCACCTCACTTGCATAATAAGTGTTAAGACCATGTTCCATCACAATCAGGTGTACTAACTGTAGGGTAAATGCATTTTATTTACATTTTCTTACCTGCATCTTAGGAGTATGAGCACCTCACTTGCAGGATAAGGGTTAAAGACCATGTTCAATCACAATCAGGTGTACTAACTGTAGGGTAAATGCATTTTAATATACATTTTCCTACATTTATGTTACTCTTGCTTTGTAACATTTCTCAGTAGAAAAATATTAATATTGCTTGAGGTTGTAAAGATGCCCCCCCAGGAAAAAATAAAAAAGATTGTCTGCATTCTGAGTAAAAATTGAGGCTCTAACACAACACACAGACAGCATTTGAATTGAATTCCTTGACTTTCCCCTTTTCTTATTCTGCAGCTGTGCAACAGCATACATCCTTCTGGCCGAAGAGGAGGCCACCACCATCATGGAGGCTGAGAGGTTATTTAAACAAGCATTAAAAGCTGGTGAAGTGTGCTACCGCCGCAGTCAACAGCTCCAGCATCATGGTACACAGTATGAAGCCCAGCACAGTGAGTTTTAACTATCCTGTAACACCATTGGCCAATGAGAACCAAATTGTATTACTATTTTGTTAGAGGAGTTTGTGGGTGCCATATATTTTAGAAAGCTCCCAGTTATATGATGGGGTTGTTTTAACAGTTGATTTTGTGTCTATCAACCAGGAAGAGACACTAATGTGTTGGTGTATATAAAAAGAAGACTGGCCATGTGCTCCAGAAAGCTTGGCCGAACACGAGAAGCAGTTAAAATGATGAGAGATGTAAGTACCTGCCTATATTGAGATAAAAGCACACGACAGCTTGAAAGTTGTTACAGATTTTATTCACATTATATGAATATGACAGAGGCATTCTCCGAGTTTGCTCGTTAACTCATACCTTGTATCTGTTATGTTGATCCCTTCCTGATATTACATGTAACAACAGTTGTGTGTTTTCCAGTTAATGAAGGAGTTCCCTCTCCTCAGTATGTTCAACATCCATGAAAACCTGTTGGAGTCACTACTAGAGCTCCAGAATTATGCTGACGTTCAGGCAGTTCTGGCCAAGTATGACGGTGAGAGACACACATAGTTCATTGATAAACACATCCACCCCTCTGACTCAGTAAGGTAGTGGAAGCCATGGTCATTGTGATCAGCTGTTGTCTTTTTCAGACAAAACCTATCTTCAAAACCTATCTTGGTTTGTCTGAGTAGTCCAGCTTCCTCCGACTGTCCAAAATGAATACTCTTAATAGCCTCTAGGAGTGAATGTGAGTGTGTGCTTGGTGTTTGTCCCTGTGATGGACTGGCGACCTGTCCAGGGTGTACCCTGCCTTTTGTAGAGTATACCCTAAGTCATCATTGCACCCTGAGTCATCATTACAGAATAAAAGGAATATGTTATAAAGCTGAAAGAATGAGCCAAGAAAAAAACTATTGCTCTAGATATAAAAGTTAAATATCCAAAACATTTGTTTTTTTTACCTTCGACAGAGTGACCAGATTGCAATAATATAAGTGATAAATGGTATTACGTGTCAAATTGTGACATTTTGAGCTCATCCCAACATAAAAAAAAAGAGCTGGTAGATTCTCTCATGAGTAATAAAGGGTGCAATTTGAGCTGCGAACAAAAAACTATATCAACAAGTTGCAGATAATTTGAAAATAATTTCTACTGGCAGCCCACATTAAAACAGCAACAAATCAGATCACTGCATGGGCTCAGGGAGACGTTTATACAAGTATATTTTTTAAGGCCCTTCATATTTAAACAATAACTGCTTCCCTTACAGCAAAATGTATTTTTGTGATTAGAGTCTGGTAACTGGACATTTAGCATTTGGTGCGACATTGTGTCAAACCTCTTCCGTTCTAGGTTTTTTTACATGTTGCTGCCATAAAATACAAAATGATGCATTATTGTTCATGAAATATTACAATCTTTCTCCATCAACATTTCATATTTTCTCTTTTGAATAGGATGTTGTTTTAGAATATGTACAAATACCTGCATTCTTTTTATTTACACTTGACAGAGTCCAGGCATTTCAAATTCCAGGTTTTATTTAATACCTGTTGTTTCAGACGGTGATTCTATAGGCCTATAGCCCATTTAGGATTATGTGACTATGTCAGATCTGTAAAACAAAAGATGATGCCAAGCTGTTAGATACCCGACAAAACCCTTGAAACTCTGAGACCTAAAGTCATCATCTTTGTTAGCTGTCCCCACAGAAAGGCAGCAGCATCCCCACTAATGATAAACCTGTCATTTCAAACTTTAACTACATTCACTTAACACCCCCTTGTCCCATTATCTTCCCTCCCCTCTGTGTGCCTTTTGTACTCTCCACAGATATTAGCTTACCCAAATCTGCAACAATATGCTACACAGCTGCCTTGCTGAAAGCGAGGGCGGTATCTGACAAGTGAGTATTGTTTTTCACTGGATACTGCTCAACCAGGGTTCTAACGTCCATGCACAGCTCTTTAAGGCTTAAAAATAAAGCAGAAAAATGCACAGGACTATGTTCAGCATGAATATGAGAAGAGGACTGAGTAGTGGTTCAGTAGTAGAAAGCTTACTATAGAGAGTAATCAATGTTATTGTTAGTAGGGAGTTTTTCCATCTCACACTTAATGCTTTTGTCACAGGTGCAGGATACGTAATTTATGAATGTAGAATGCTGCATATAGTCACTGTTTGCCAATTGGGTTTGTGTTTGCTAATTATCTCTTCATGTTTAATTTTGTACCCTGTCATTACATTCTGCACATGTTCACATGCTGTGATTTACACTCAAATGTCATTTAGTTTGTTTGAAACTTTATTTGGAACTTTAGAGAAACCTGGTTTAACTAAGATTCCTTTCTTCGTGGAAGTTGACTTTTAAGAAAAAGTTCCCTTTAACATATTCATTTCCACAGTACATTCCAGCATTTTGTGTGATCTGGTGAATATTCCTGCTTTGTTCCTCACAAATGTCTAAGTATAAAGCCCATTCATGAGGGATTAATTTATTCATTCATTCATCCAGAGAGAACAGTTAGTGTTAACTGACAGGTCTGGGTCAAAACTAGCTTTTATCACTTTGCTGATGTGCTCTGACATTACTTGCGGGTGTGTAGGTTTTCTCCAGAGGCAGCGTCAAGGCGGGGGCTGAGCACAGCAGAGATGAATGCAGTAGAAGCCATCCACAGAGCAGTGGAGTTTAACCCTCATGTCCCGAAAGTGAGTTTCTGCAGCACCCCTCATACTATACACATACACACACAAACACTCCTGCTGCCCTCACAATGCCATTTAGTTAATGGTCAGTGAAGGAGGTGAAAAGTTCCCCAAACACATAAGCTGTTCTTGCATTAGTTTTCATCATCATTTTTTTTTTTTTTTTTTTTGTAATTTTCGGTTGCAGGCAAAACCATCAGAATGCTTTGTTGTTGTTCTGTCTAAAGGCAGTTCTCTCTCATTCTTGTTTGTCATCTTTGTTCCTCTCCGCTCCTCCTCCTCATTAATAGTATTTGCTGGAGATGAAGAGTTTGATTCTTCCTCCAGAACACATTCTGAAGAGAGGCGACAGTGAAGCCATTGCCTACGCCTTCTTCCACCTACAGCACTGGAAAAGGGTGGAGGGGGCACTCAACCTGCTGCACTGTACCTGGGAGGGCAGTAAGTACACAATAACACCCACATGCATATGAATGCAAACACGGTTGCTGTTAGAATAAAGCTGCTGACATGTGCATGAGTATTTTTATTTGAGGAACTTCAGTAAACAGGCTTATGGTTTTTGGTCTTTTTGAATCTTCTTATTTGTGTGTTTACAGCATTCAGAATGATTCCATATCCTCTGGAGAAAGGTCATCTGTTTTATCCCTACCCTATCTGTACAGAAACTGCTGACAGAGAACTGTTACCCAGTAAGTGATGCCCTGACTCACACACACATACAAGACATATTCGTTGTATGTACTTAACTAATATGGCACATAGCTATTGCGGCACTCAGTTACTTAGCCATACATTCCATTTAGCTATACAATTGGCTTCTTTTACTTTGTTTTTTTCGCCAAACGTATGTAATTTGATTCCATCAGGGATACATTCTTGGTAGTGATAAGTTTCTGTATTGCTGATTATGGGCATTGTCCTGCTGTCTGCTCAGCATTTCACCTTTTCTTGTGCACAAGCCCTCAGTTAGCATTTTCCCACAAGCAGTGGCAGCCGTCGCTCATGTATATCACAAAATTCTGTCTCCAACTGACTTCAACAGCCTGATTAAAAAACAAAATTGACGTCATTGTAGAACTGACTAAAACACTGGGGTTTATTCCCACACATTGCAGCTCATAAATGTTTGGATGTGAGATCCATTAGACTTGATTGTACATTTCTGATCTGCCATAACCAACTGCATAAGTCAGCTGGTTGACACATCAGCTGAACCATTTTTGTTCCATTTCTAAAATAATTAATTCAGGCATATTTTCCTTGAAAGATTTGGAACTTGTTTGTCATATAAAATGGCTCATATATGGAGGCATGGGTGCTTTTATAATTAGAAATTTAAACAAAGACGTTGTGACAAGGAACCACTCAAGGCTAATTATTACATTCTAAATTAGTCCAATTCATACTGAACAAAAGAAAGTGTTGTAGCTAACGAAGAAAACTGATTGTGCAAAATCTTTACTTTGATCCAATCCCCCTTCTTAAGGATGTATGAGGTGTCTGGAATGAAAAAACAACTATTTTATCACAAAAACATCTGTTGCAGAACCAGACTCGACCAGCTGAGGTACAAAAGGTACAAAAAACACTATTACAACAGCTCATGGATGCCAACAGCTCATGGATATCAGCTGTGAAAGAAAAAAAAAAAGAGAAACTGAACTTAATCTCGATAATGTTACATGTCCTTGGAGAAAAAGGCGAACAGAGTATGGCGCTGTACATCACAGGAGGTTTCCCAGCCGTCTAGGTCTATAGCTTCATAACTATGGGATGTTTCCTTTATGACAAAAATACTATTAACCTTATAGGCAATGTTGTCGTAAAGTTTTAAGTTTATATTTTACATTTATGCATTCAGCAGCCCCATTTATCCAATTTATTTGTATTTTATGGAAGAGAATAACTGGTCAATAAAAAATCAACTCAATTATTTGTTACATAACATTTGTTAGCAATGACAGGTCAAATGTTTCGAGTAAGTCTTCACCCATTCCTCCTTGCAGATCTGCTTCTAGAGCAGTGATGTTCTGGGGTTGTCGCAAGACAACATGGACTTTCTTTCCACAATTATCCATTGGGGTTGAGGTCTGGAGACTGGCTAGGCCACTCCAGGAGCCACTCGGAGCCACTCCTTCATTGCCCAAGCGTGTGTTTGTGTTTGGGGTCATTGTCATGTTGGAAGACCCGCCAATATTCCATCTTCAGTGCTCTCACTGATGGGAGGAAAGTTTGGCTTAAAATTTTATGACACATGGCCCCATTCATTCTTCCTTAAAACGGATAAGTCTTCCTGTCCCCGTTTCAGAAAAACAGCCCCAAACCATGATGTTTCCACCCCCATGATTCACTGTACCTGTGGTGTTCTTGGGATGGTACAGAGCTTTCTTCTTCCGCCAAACATCAGAAGTTAACTTTATATCAAACATGCCTGGCACTGTAAGTCCCTCTTGATGTAGTCTGTTTCCGATGCTAGCCTTTGTTACTTTGGTCCCAGATTTGTTACTTTGTTCCCACACAGAGGTGTGACATTCATCAGGTCCCTCCTGTAGGTCTGAGATTTTTGCTCACCGTTCCAAAATCACAGTTTTTGCTCATCCCTACAGGATGAAATCTTTTGTGGTGTCAGAGATCGAGGGAAATTATCAATGATCTCGTATGTTTTCCATTTTCTTACAATTGCTCCTGCATTTGATTTATTCATACCAACCTGCTTGCCTATTGTAAATTTACTATTCCCAGGCGGGTGCAGGTCTACAATTTTCTTCCTAGTGTCCTTGGACAGCTCTTTGGTCTTGGCCATAGTTGAGTTTGGATTCTGACTTTTTTTAAAGCTGTCGACAACTGTCTTTTATACAGAAGATAAGAAATCCTGCTTGTTTTTGGGTAACCAATTACAAATTTTCCACCATAATTTACAAGTAGTTTATTCAAAATTCTTAATTTGATTTCCTGGATTTTTTTTTTTTTTTCGTTTTGCCTCTCACAGTCACAGTGTTCCTGTGATAATAATTACAGACGTCTTTCATCTTTCTAAGTAGGAGAACTCGCACAATCAGCGGATGACTAAATGCTTTTTGCCACACTGTATATGTGAGAATTTGTGGAACCGAGGAAGTAAAGGTAAAACTGGAGACATGTGATCTCTCCTTCTAGTTTTCAACAAAACTCTGGCTGCAGCATTTTGGATCAGCTGGAAAACTTTAAGAGATTTAATGGGACGGCAAGAAAGGATGTCCTTTACTCTCCAACAGGATGTCCTTGGAGACAGGATTTGGTCAAAAATAACTCCAAGGTTTCTCACTGTTGTACTTAATCATGAGTATATAATATAATGCTTATTTTTCCTTCCTGAGAATCTTAGGGAAAGACTGATGGGAAAGGTTAAATGACAACAAAACACAGTGGAAGTGGTCATAACTGAAATGTGATGCCCTCAGCTAACATTATGTTGCTTGTGTGTTTGTCCCATGCGGAAGCAGTGTTTCATGAGGTGTCAGTCTATCCGAAGAAGGAGCTGCCCTTCTTTATCCTCTTCACCGCTGGTCTGTGCTCCTTCACCGCCATGTTGGCTCTGCTCACACACCAGTTCCCTGAGCTGATGGGTGTGTTTGCCAAAGCTGTGAGTACACACAAGAAGCACTCACGACTAAAGTTGTAAACCAGGGGGGGTCATAATTCAGTTCTTCAAGGCTCCTGTCTTGCAGATTTTGGAAGTTTCCCTGCTTCAACACACCTGATTCACATCAATGCCCCACAAGCAGGTTTTTGCAGAGCTTAATAATCTTTTGGATAGATCTATTTAATCGCAATCACGTGTGCCGTACACAGAAGCCTCTAAAACCTAAAGGGAAATGGCCCTTAAGGACTGAAGTTTAACATCCATTTTTTAAAAACATTCCTCTCAAAGCTGCTGTAGATGATCTCCTGGGATTGAGTGCAGCTGTTTAGGAAAAATTTCTTTAGACCAGTTTGGTGAGTGACAGCACATCTTAAAACTTGTCCATAAAACCCAGAAGTAACAGTTTGTCTCATGATTCTTTTACCACTCTGTGTAAGTCACAAAATGTCGTGTATATACCCTCATCCAATAACCATCGGATGCGATTGAGGTTGGCATTTTTCCTTGATTTGCCACAAAAATTAATCTAGCTGCTGAGATTTGTAGAGCAGTAAAACCTGCAAGGCGCCTAAAAAATGTGATAACAGAGAGGATGATTTGAGAATAAATCTAAATATGAGTTTTGGCGATGTAGACACATTAAGGTAGATGCATACCACATTCTGCCAACAATTCATAGTGAAGCTACAGGTGCAATTGCATCAGTAACTATATCAGACCACCAATTTACATTTATAAATCTCTCCCTTCTTAATGTATACGTTTTTGAGACAGGGGAAACTGTCAACACATATAGTGAGTCCTCCCCCATGTTTTGGCTTACAGACTTGTCTCCACTTCCACCACAGTTCAAACACAAAGAACACGCACTTTTGTGTGCCCTTTGAAGCACACGCAGAGATGTATAATCCGATGTGCGAGGCCACATAAAACGGCCCTTACCAATCTTAAATTTTTTCCTCTGCCATCTGACAAAGTTGGAACCTCCCTGACCTCCATGGTGCTCCGGTGGAGCCCCCATCACCCCTCTACACCTTCTCGTCAGTGTTTTTTTGTCTTTGCAGAGATCAGCTCAGAGGTTAACTTCTGAGTTAGACAGTTTGTGATTGTAAGAAAGAGTGTCATGCATTGTTTGTAAAACAACTGATCTAATAGCTGTCTTTCCTTCCTTAAATTGGTTGATAACCACTTCTGTCAAGGGTTGGTCCTGTTCAGTCAGTAAAGGAATATTGCAAAGATGTGGGGGAAAAATCTTCTCATTTTGAGAGTGAAATAAGAGAAAATTATTTGTCCTCTAAATGGGTATGGAGTTTGTTTCTCACTTCTAAATTCTTTGTAAACTTAATTTTTTCGTTCATAATAATAATTTGGTGTAAACTATTACATTAATTCAATGTTAAGTCTTGTTGACATAAAGGGGCCTTGATTTCTGAATGAAAGGCACACTTTACTTTCATTGCAAAATGCAAAAAAGGACCTCGGACCACTGGCCAACAGTTCAGTCCTTCTCCTTGGCTCAGTTAAGTCGCCTCCTTTGTTTGCTCAGGTTCATACGTGGCTTAAACCAAGGAGCCCGACAGTTGCAGCCCATCTCCTGGATGTGTCTGTGCAGGTGCTCTGAGTTTAGCAGATGTTTAGTGCGTAACACCCAGTTTAAAACATTTGTGGCCTGCAAAATGTGGGGTTATTTCTTGACAAAAGTTTTTAATCATGGATTTTATGAGCTGGAAGCCCAGATTTTGTAAGAATAAACAAATAATTAAGAAAAAAGTGCATCTATAATCTATTAAATTTTTTAGTTGAATTATGGATATATCCAGAAAGAATGTGAAAATTCCATTATATGAAATTTTTTGGGAAGGGTCTGTAAGTTTTAAAATGATGCTCCAAGAAAGTGGGATGTACTGTGGAAGGCCATCTCACTGTACAAAGGTCATCTAATGAAGAAACCATAATTCTCTAATAAAGATTAGTAAGGGAGAAGTCAGAACTACTGGCCTCATAAAGAGGCTGATATGTATAAAATGCATACAAATTCAGTGGCTGATCAATTCTATTTAACAACCATTTTATTATGATTCATCAAGTGTTGTGTGTATTGGGAGGTTCATTAAACAGTTTGAAATTTCATCTGTCCCTGCAGTTCCTCAGCACTCTGTTTGCTCCTCTGAACTTCATCATGGAGAAAGTGGAGAGCATCCTGCCGTCCAGCCTCTGGCACCAACTGACTCGCATCTGACCCCAACAAACTGGACTAGAATCAGACCCAGAACCAGCACTAAAAACAGACCTCCATGAAGACTAAATGACTGGACAAAAACTAAACTGGACTGATGCACTTTTGTGCCAAGATCAGTCCCAACCAAACGGAGGAGACGGGAAAAAACAAGACAGAACAGTGGGAGCCAGAGTTGGTTTTGACTTTATTTGATATGTTTGCATTTTTGGGGGGGTTTCCAGTCATTTAAAACAGTTTTTTGTTGTCTTCTTTTTTTTGTTGTACAAAAAAATGATTAGTTGCCATCATTAAAAAAGTGAAAAGGAAAAAAAATACAATAAAGGACTTTTTGTGTATTGCTGCAAGTCAACTTTTTCATCCCATTTTAATTCAGAACTCACTGGGAGTCACACTCACTGGGAGTCTAGCATGTTTTTGTGTTACAAAGAAGTTCGGGGTCATCTCTACCACGAGTGAAGGTGAATAAATGGTTTTCAGAACACCATATGAAGGACCAAAAGCAACTATGAAGAAATACTTGATGCCAAGTGAAGTTGTTTTGACAGATGATTTCAGTGAAAGAAAAACTGGAAACTGCTGTTTGAAATGTGAGAGAAGAAGAAGAAAAATATTTGTCTTTGAGGAATGATTGCTCACTCTTGGTTGTATTTTAGTTTAATTTTCAATCACATATTTTCAAAAAGACAGTCCAGGGTGTACCCCGCCTCTAGTCCCCCTAAGGGAATAAGCAGTTACGATATTGGATGGATGGAAAGTTACAAAAAGTCTGAGGCAGTGAAACCATTTTTTTGGTTGCATATAATCTGGATGGGTTGGTGAAACCGTGAGTGGTGGAACAGTCTTCTGGGTATATGCATGCTTTGATAATCTTTCTAAATCTAACTGGAACATTTCAAACTTTTTTTGCCAAATATTTAATTTGATGGTTTTCTTCAAAAATTCAATCGAGTAGCGTTAAGGAAAAGTATTTGTTATTTTGCAGATATTTCTCTGTAAAATAGTCTGCAGTAAATTATTACGGGTTATCTATGCTTTTTGGCCTTTAATTTTACATTAAATTATCAGTTTTATTAACACTTGTCGTGAACTGGTTCATTGTGTCACTGGTATTTCCCAGCTCCTAAAATTTGGAACTAAGTTGTATATAAGTAGTACATTGAATTCTGATATGAAACCGATTTTGCTCTATGGCAAAATCTTTTAAATAATACAAATTTTCCTCAACAAATTTCATAAGGAGTTCCTTGACAGACAACTTTCTGCCAGCTGGAACATTTTACTCATCCAAGCAAAGAAAGTTGTTAAAAACTAAAATTCATGGGAGTAGCTGTTGTTTCTTTAAGGACAGGGATGATACACAGTTTTTGTTGTTCTTGACAAAAAGACCAGTCAATGGCAAGCCAGCGATGAGTACTTGAAATACAGATACATTTTTTACACATTTAAACAATATGTTTTGAAACTGTTTCTTTCAATCAGATCTTAACTAGAACAGTTGTATCTACTGCAGTGTTGTATCAAGAAAATATGTTACCAGGGTGCTGAATGTGTAAGCGTGAAGCATCTCTGAAGAAAATGTCAGTAAAGTTGTGCGTATAATTTATCTGAGTGTGCAATAGAAAGTCAGCAGATTTATCTAAGAAAAGCATGCTGCCAAAGGTTAAGACTACAGAAAGAGCACTCGAAGAGGACATTTGTGTTTCTGTTCTCAGACAAGCGAGGCTAAAAATCCTGTTGTAGGATCCAAGAGGAATATGGAGTTTGTTTTTTTTAAAGTCTGATTCCAAACTGGGACCAGGCTGCAGGTGATGGCAAACTCATATCTTGCCCTTACAGGTGTGCACATCAACCTGCTGGTGACAGTCACGGCAGTGGACAGCACAGCACCAGTGAAACTTGCACTCGCACTTGGTGGTGCGAATGACGCGTGACGTGTCATAACCTCGGCCGCAGCACATCGCCTCACAGCTGTCTGCACCCCGAGACATCCGCTGGCAGAGCCGCCCTCTGGTTCCCATCGTCCCTGGGGAGGGAAGCAAAGGTCAGCACCATTCCATCCAAGCTGTGACCTCATCTAAACAGAATGACCAATGTTCAATTTTTATCCCGTAAAACCGCAAACATATCAGGACAAGTTTGCCATATTACATGTCCAACTCCTTATGACAGATTTTCTGAGCTCTCTGATGGAGCCTTCTCTCACGTGGGCCAGACCACCTTATCAAGTGAAGCTGCATAGGATGCTGCCTTCACTGGCACCCATTGAGCATGTTTAAAAGCTACTCAAAATGTGCTGTCTATTCTCCAAGAGATTCTAGTTTAATGAAAAATAGACTACAAACTATTAAAAAAAGTTTACAGTTTTTCCAATAAAAATATGTCCACTGGTTTTAGGAGAAAATAGAAACCAAATTTCCCCTGGCCAGAATAGCAAAGATGAGGCAGCAAAAGGCAGAATGGGTGAGTAAGATGATGAAAGCTAGTGAGATGAAAGATTGTTGATAGGAGCCATCAGCCTGCTTGCCCACACTTCATCTGCTGTTCATTTGCTGGAAACATCCATTGCTCACACACACATACACTTTCTGCAGACTGCTCGGTTCCAGAAACAAACACACACTTTTTCAAGAGCTAAGGCACCAAAAAGGGAGAACATCTTAGAAGGAAAATTGCTACCTGCAGAATCAAAGTGACAGTTTACCAACCCCAGATGATGCATATCACTTTCCTGTGTTTGTCTAATCAGAGAATTAACTGACTGTTGAGGCTGTTCTGTCTACATTTCCAGATAACTGCTCTTAGATGGTTGGTCGAAAAAAATTGTGAACTATAAAAAATGGCCCACAGAAAATGTACAGACATTGATTTACGATGACTCACTTAGCACAGATTAAACAAATTAAGAAAACCATGGGGTTACTGGGGTTGTTTGATTTGTTATCGAAACTAATCTTAGCTTTACATGAATTACATAAACACAACAAAAATAATTACTTATGAATATGACTTATTTCCATGACAAAGTCCAAACTTGAAGCAGGATTTTCCAGTTGGCCATATCTGTATTACAGAATGTTATAGTTATGGTTTGTTTCTCCCACTGTGGCATTAATTAAACTACTTAAACATTAGTTGTTGCTTTTTTTTTGTTTTATCTGTAATGAAAACTGCTCCAAAGTCTGCGACCAAACGCAGTTCTTTCTACTTTTTGATGTTTTGGTTGTCTGAGTCTTAATCTGGGGGATGCTCCCTGAACCGTGACTGTGGCTGCCCTTTGCAGGTGAGAAACATTTCTGTGGTTAGCACATTTTCCCTGCAAAGTAAAGGTTTAAAAAAAATTACAAACTGGCTTTAAGCACCATCGCCAACACTTATGTTTACATTGTACTTGTTCTGTATGTTAACTGTCTTGTATGTCATTCTCTCACCAGGTTATTTGTCTGGATTTTATCTGAATCCCCACCCCCCTCTGGCAGCCAGCCCACCTGTCCTTCATCCTGTACTTATTGGTGACATCATGGTCAGATTCTTCATCAAGAACCTCACTCTCTCTGCGTCTGCCTATTGAATTAAAATGAGGGGGCGCCGAGAGATGAGTTTAGCACCTGAGCTTCGCTGGGCTGAAGAAAATTGATTTCACACTTTAAAGAGGCACGAAGGGGCCTCTCACCATCTCTGTGAACTCCAGGCCTGTGGGTTTCCAAATGTCTGTGAAAATGTATTCAGTGTGCATTTGTGGAGTGATTGTAAGCCAGTTTACATGTCTCTCAAAGGTTTTTTTATGTGTGTGGGCTCCGAAGATAACTGAAAAGTGTGTTTAAACAATCAACCACCCAAACACTATCTAATACATGTGTTACCACAATCCTACTTACAATTGTGAGAAATAGAAAGAAGACCCTATTTCACAAAGTTTTACATATCATTAAATAAATAAAAAAATCTGATGCCCACCAGGTTTTAGAATTTGGTTTTACAGACTCATTTTTTTTACTGTGAAATAATCTGATGACATTCCTGACATTCACATGGATGTTAACTTACCTTAAGTCTTTCCATTGCAGAATTATGGATCCCAGACTGTTTGGAAATTAACTTATAAACCACAGATTGATTTTCAGCAACAACACATCTAAGTGTTTCAGAAAAGCAAACCAACAAAATGTCTCCTCATATACCTGTGGAAGCAGTGAGAGTATGTTTTGTATTATGTCCACTTGAATAAGATCTTATAGATAAAAAAAGAGTGAATTTTCTTTTTCACATGACTGTTGACTATCCCATAAAACTCAACTCTATTGTATCAACTGGTCATATTAACAAAGCCATCCAGGGAGGCAGCCACACAACAACACACTAACAAACATTTGCATCGATTACATTTGGAAAACCAGACGTTGCTGCCTGCAAACTGCCTTTTTATGATGGCCTGTTTCTCCACTGTGTGGGGAAATCTTATCCACTTTTCATATCAACAAAGCGGCGATTACTCTTGCTTTCAGGATAGAACAAGTAACTGAAATAGCTAGGACATGTGCCCATACCACCAAAAGCAAAACTATCACAACTTATCCAACTTGCTGTTAAAATTTGTTAGATAATTGGCGGAGCCTCAAGGCTGTGTGATAGTGTGTACATGTCTTTACAGTGGAGGTTATTTATAATGGCAAGTAAATCACTAAAGTTTCAGCTCAGACAAGAGTGTAATGGATCTTGAACTGACACACCTGATCTCCACAGATCATTTGCTACCTGATAGGTATCCTACTCCTCTGGAATATGCCCTTCTTGTCATCTTTCCCTCTCCCCCATTTTTAATACACACTCATCTGTATTTCTTAAGGTCTTATACATGCATACCTGTCCTGACTACAGTATCTTTAGTGTCTCTACAGTCAATCGCATTCATTTTGCTGTCTCTTAGAAAGCAACAGTATGTTATTTAAAGTGCTTCTTAGGGTTAATTCCAAAAAACTAGAAACAATTATGACACAACATGTATAATTAACTTTTTTCTTGTCAAATAAGCAGAGAAAAACATGCATAGATGATGGCTCATGAAAACTGTAAAAGAAAAGAAAAAAGGAAATTTGATCTTCTGCTTCCCTCAGCATGATGAAACACAACCACCAGAAAATAAAACACCAATTAGCTTCACAAATCAGTTGATTGAGTTTTGTGGAAATATGAAACATTGACTGAATCTTGTCTCGAACTGAGGACTATCTTGAACAATTCAGTTAGGATGCAGTCAGAAAAGGCATCCCTCCATCTTTAAGTCCCTTTTTTTTCTTTTCAAAGGTCACTTTTGTTTTTAGTCTTCTTAATTGCACCTGGTGAGTGTAATAATGTCAGAAACTACAGTCAAGTTGGATAACTGAACTTATCCTATTTTTCTTATTTTCTCTTTTTAACAAATGCTCAAAGATCCTGCTGGATGTTAAATGTTCTAAACATTACATTTAATGTAGTTTACCTGACTCCTGATCCCGTATGCAGTAGTCTGGAGAATCCTCAAGGTAGACTAGGTCATTGTGGGTGGGAGGTTTGAAGTGTGAATGTGCAGCTGTGAAACCAGTACCATACTGGTTAACTGCTACCTGCACAGCAGCATTGTACCTCTTCCACAGGTGGTTGCCGGTGTGACGGAAGTCAGCCATAGCCAGCCAGCAGGTTCTGAGACTGCAGGAGCCACTGACACCATGACATTTACACTCCAGAGTCATGAAACGCTTCACTGCCTGGGTTACAAAAGACAGTTACTATGCAGTAGATAGTGAGCAAAAAATCATTTGTTTTTCCCCTTAGGTTTCTAAACAGAAAAAATAAAAATGGTAAAAACTTATTGTACCTTCTGAAAACAAAACAGAAAATTTAAATTTTTCCACTGAGTTTCTATTTTGTAATAGAATAACTATATTCTTTAAAAATAATTCCCATATTGTTTAGGAGTGCCTACCCTCCTGCCAGCTCTATTGTTGTGAAGGTTCATGAGTGCTCTGGCGTCCTTCTCCTTCCTCTCTTTGGCGTCCACAAAGTTTTGGCTGAAGCGCATGGCATGTTTCACATGGTCACTGCAACCTCCCCAGTTAAAAGAACCCTTAGGGTCCCATGACGAGCCCTTCTTGGTAGGATCGCAGGAGCAGGAAACCAGCTCTCCTTGACTGCAGGCTCGGGCCAATGTATACACAACTCCAGCCGAAGAGATGGCATAGACAAAGGCTACTTCTCGGGTGCCTGAGTAAACAGAATGACAGTTTTACACCAATCATGATAGACCTGATTTCAAACAAATACATGCATTGGCTATGTCAATACAATAAGCCCACAAAATAAAGACTAATTGCAGAAATTAATAAATGGCCCAATAAATACACAAATATGCCTACAATGTAGCAATGAATGTAAAAAAAAAGACTTAAAGGAAATGTTTCTACATATTACATAAATAACATTGACATAATTTTATAATCACATATCCAATTTATTTTCTTTACAACCTATTTCAATCTTCACCTTTTATCTTATTAATTTAATTGTGAAAAGATTCTATGTCATCATCAGCAACCAAATATCCAGGTCTCCAAACGCTCTGTGGTATGTAGACTTGCGTATGCAAAAAAACACTCCTTCCAAAATCTGTAGGACTAAAGGGTCAAGTTCATTGTTGTGTCTACATCTAACTGGAGTAGCCTCTCATTCTGGGTAAAAGCGCAGGCATGATAGCACAACTGTACGTGCCTGCTATTTTGGCCATTTCAGACCATGTATTTATTGTGAAAGTATTTCCTGCCGGCAAAAATCTGGAATATTTCTTGTGTGTTGGTGTCATGATCGTTGATATTTTTGAAATTCTGCTTTCAGTGAAAAAACAGAGGATGCACATGAATCCTGATCCCTCATTTGATTGAGCAGCTGGCCAAACAAGACAGATTGAAGGACTGCATAATAATGCAGATATGCACAAGGAAAAGTATACAGCAAAACAGAGATGTGTCAAAAGAAGAAGCAAAAAGGCTTGTGGGAGTAAGAGGTTGAAAATCCAAGAATGAAATAAACATTATTTTAAAAAGTAAAATAGAAAGAAAATGTATGGGTCAATTAAACTAGAAAAGCTGAAAATGCTAATCTGCTGAATGAATGATGCTCAAGAAAATGGAAAATATGAAAAAGTAGCCACAATAAAGACATTATTTGATACAAAGGAATCTAAACATTAAATGTTTTTGGAATAAGTTGAAGGGAAGAGGAATCACAAAAGTATATGAAGCAGAAAAAAGGAGGAAAAGGCCTCTGAGGCCTCTCATTTATACATTGAAAAGTATGAATGGAACATATAGAACAGTGGTATGCTTAATTGATTTGTGGGAAAACAGCTGAAGACCATTTAAAGACAAAAAGAAAAGTTCTCATGACACAGGGCAACTGATGAGACACTTATTATTATGGCAGATGAAGTAATATGAAGGTAATAAGACAAAATTTGAAGGTCAGATAAACAAATGGCAGAAAGATTTAGAGGAGAAAGGATTAAAAAAACTCCTGAAAACTTCTTCAATATAGAGATTAAGAGTAGTCATTGAAAGGGAACACCCGGAGATAATAAATTGTCACTGTGGAAGGGCACACAAGTGGCAAAACTGAAGCTCAAATACATCTTAATCCAAGTAAAATGGAGTTTAACATCAAGCTACACAGCATATTATGAAAAGGGTTAAAGGTGAACAGCAACTGAGAGCATGTGAGCATCCTATGTTCTTGTGTGTGTGTGTGTGTGTGTGTGTGTGTGTGTGTGTGTGTGTGTGTGTGTGTGTGTGTGTGTGTGTGTGTGTGTGTGTGTGTGTGTGTGTGTATCAGTAAAAACAGGTCCTGTGTTCACCATCTATCTACCCATGGACATTCTGTAACCGTAACCCCAGCTGTCAATGTCTTTAAAAAAAAAAGGAAATTAGAGTAAATGTAACAGGACTGTGTTTTCAGGTTTGGTGGCTCGGGTTTGTTCCTATTGCTTTCTATTGGGAAGCTGGAACCTAAAGAAGCCACTAGCTTAAAAAGTAATACTCTGATGGCTGTGAAACACAGTGATAGTTTTAAAACATGAGCCTAGCAGGTGTGGTAGGTGGAAAGGTTGGGCTACTTTCCTCTTTTTTATTCAAAAATGGGTTACCCCAGTAACGTGACCTTTAAGGAAAGGGTATGTTGTACCGAGATACTTCTTTGTTACAGACTTGGCAGTAATGCTGGAGGTGGAAGAAATTGATATCGATATGAACAAGACCATCATCACAGACCACGTTCACTTCTGTAGGGACACTGTGATTCCAGGGAGGACTGTAACGTGTTACCATCAATCACTAGTGACTTTGAAGACCTCCTGAAACAGAAGAAAACGGTGTTCCAGGACGAAAGAAAACAGATTCCAAGAGAAATGTAACAAATGCTCAAAAGGATGTCAAGTATAAGAAAAAGGTAGAGAAAGTTGGAGAACAATTACACCAAGGAGGTGGCCTCAGACTGAAAAATCTTAGTCTCTAGAGGGTGAGGAACCAGAGCCAGTTTTACAATGGCTTTGATAGTGTGGCTTCCACTACCCTTCTGATCATCTCTGGGGCAGCTCTCACCGTCAGGCCTACTGAGACCTCCACATCTGTAACAGACTCCAACGTCAGTCCTCCTGAACTCAGCAGCACCTCTGCAGCAGCATCCACCACCAGGCATCCTAAGTCCAGGTGCAACTCCATTTCTGATGTAACTTCAACGACTAGCCTTCCTTTGTCCAGCTTGAACCCCATCCCCATTTCAATGAGTGATACCAAAATCAATACTGCAGACATTACCATAGAGGAGGTGGGAGCTTAGATCAGGACACTGATCTAAGTCAGGGAGGTCTGCAGGTCCAGATGGAGTCTTTCCAAAGCTTATTAGAGATTGTGCAAGTCAACTTGCAGTCCCCGGTGCTGTGAAAAACTCCTGTCTTATACCATTGCCAAAGCTAGGCCAACCGGTGGAGAAGAATGACTATAGAACAGTGGCTTTGACATCTCATATAATGAAGACCTTGTTTGTCCTATAAGATTGTAGGTTGCTGAAGATCTTGAACCGCATTTAATTTTTCTACCAGAAACACATAGGAGTGGAAGATGTCATTTTGTACATACTAAACCAGGCATATGTTCACCTGTACCTAGTTTATATTTGAGAATAAGTCAGTCAGATCCCAGTATATTGGAATAACGAAATGTGTTTATGGAATGCTAGAATTCAGTACTGGGATTGTAGAGGATGCTGTTAAGATACTTCTCTTTTCAAACTGAATACATTGGACTTCAAACACAACTCGGAATCCTGCCTCATACAGACGTATTCTGATGCTAAAGCTTTCGTAGCATGCTGGAGTGGTCTGCAAACATAGAAGCAGTGTACAGGAAGAGCCAGAACTGTCTCCCCTCCTGAGATGACTCAGATCATTCAATGTCTGCAGTGACATGTTTGTTATAATGTTATATCGTTATTAATATATATATTTTTCGCAACTTTGGCGTCTGTCTGTCTGTCTGTCTGTCTGTCTGTCTGTCTGTCTGTCTGTC